ATTTGAAACAAATTTTCAACAGCTGCTTACTCATTGACGAAATATTTATTTTAGCTTGAGTTTTCTGAATAATCTGCGAAATTCAGTACTGATTTATCTTAGCTTGTCAGAAATATCCGAGGTAAAGTCTGATATTGTCTACACAGAAAAGCAATTTACTTAAATAACGAAAACGTAAACAAAACAGAAGTCTAATAGCAATAAATTGGAGCACTGAAGGTCTGATACTTCAATGAAGAGCGTGTATTATGGCGGCAACGGAGAGTATGAGAAGGTTTGTTTACATTTGTAGCTGGCTAATAGCAAAGTTTACAGTTGTTTAGATAGCTGTAAAGTGATTTTGCAAAAATTAAAATAATATTTTTTTTGTTTTAGTAAAAGTTTATATTTCAAATTTTTTAATTATGAAACAATATTCTTTGAATATTAATTATTTTGTTGTATGTTTTTCCATATTTTGAAGATTAATTTAAAAGTGAAAACTAAATTATCACACTATGATTTTATTTTTGTTTCAAAAGTTTTAAATTTAAAAAGCAATTTTAAATAAATTTTTTATAAAAATTTTCAAATCTAATATATTCATGCTTTAATATATTAAATTAAAAAAAAATTAATCTGAATAAAAATACAAAAAAAAAATTCAAATTAAAAAAAAAATCGAAATTATAAATGTGTTAGTTTTATATTTTAACATTTTGATTTTATATAAAATAATTTGTTTTTTAAATTAAAAAAATTGAAGAATAAATAAATTTTTTTGTTGCTAATAAATTGTATAGGAAATTTTATATTTTTTATTTTGCAAATCTTAATCCGAAATAGAATTGCGATTTAGTCAAAACAACCAAAATTTATATTAAACCAAAAAGCTAAATATAAAAAGTTAAAAAGTAATATGAAGTTTTTTATGCTCAAAACTAATAAAAATAACTAAATCCAAAACATTAAAAAATTATGTGAATTTCTACCCCAAAAATAAAAAAACTATATTTAAAACTAGATAGTTTAAAATTCTTGTCAAAAACGATTTGAAATTCGCCTAAATTAAATTATTTTCTTTAAAGCTATCAATAAAAATTAAAATACAAATTTAGTAAAAGGGAAATTAGCGACCTAGTTCAGATTTCTAAAGAAATTTATATCAATTTCAAGAAGATTAAAAATATTTTTTAAAAATTTAAAATATTAAAAAAAAATAAAAAATTAAAAACAAATTGCAAAACAAAAATAAAAATTAAAAATACTAATAATAATAAAAAAAAATTTGAAAAATTAAAAAAACCCAAAAAATTACAAAATAAAAATAAAAAAATTTAAAAACAAATTACAAAACATAAATAAAAATAAAAAATAATAATAATAATTAAAAAAAATAAATAAGAAAATATAAAAAATTAAAAAAAAAATAATAATAATAAAAAAAATTTAAAAACAAATAACAAAACATAAAAATAAATAACAAAAATAAAAAATAAAAATAAAAATAAAAATTAAAAATTATAATAAAAATTTAAATTAATAATAAAAATAAAAAAATTAAAAAACAAATTACAAAACATAAATCTAAATAAAAAAAAAATAAAAATTAAAATAATAAAAAAAAAAATAAAAATAAAAATTAAAATAATGAAAATTATAAAAATAAAAAAATTTAAAACCAAATTACAAAAAAAATTAAAAGAACATAAATAAAAAAAAAAAAAAATAAAAATTACTTAAAAAAAATAGAACATATTAAAATTAATAAAAAAAAATTTCATTTGAAAATGTAAAAAAAAAAATTGTTTGCATTTTTTATAGATTTTTGTTCACAGATAAAATGTTTTTTAATTTCAAAAAGATTAAAAATTGCTTTCAGTTGCCTCATTCACACAAAAATGCATAATTGCTCTGCCAAAAAAAACTCGACACAAAGCAACTTCACAGAAACACATTTCAAATAGAAAATAAACAAAAAACAAATAACATATAAATCAAGAAAAGCGGCCAGACAGCGTAGCGCGATAACACAGAGCTGGCGGCTACAAAGTACGAGTACTCCATTAAGCATCAACAACCACACTAACAAACCGTTGGCAGCCAAGAGTTCAAAAACAAAGCGGCATATACACAAACCCCTTCACTTGAGCGCAGCAAGTATTCGGAACGACCTTGCGTTGCTGTTTGCTTTTCAATTAAAAAAATCACCGCGAGTAAATAATTTACTTGCATTTAATATTTCCTTACAACACATTTGTTATTATTTGTTGCTTCTAACTTTTGGTGTTCGCCCCTAGAGTACTACAGCTAAATAGGCAGCAGTTGTTATTATTATTATTATTTTTTTTGTTTACTGTTGTTGTTGTTATCGCTTTTCGGTTTTCCGTGCTCATTATCGTTAAATTATGTGAAGAGATAATGAAGTTAAGTAGTAAATCGAAAATCAACACACGCGATCCACCTGTAAACAAAGTAACAAACATGCGAGTCAAATAGAAAAATAACAAAAACAAGAGCAACGGTTGTAGCGGGGAAAAACAAATGTAGCATTTTGTTGTGATTGGAAATTGTTGAGCGTGGTAGTAGGTGGGCGTGATTGGCGCCTAAATTGTTTTGATTGCTGGGTGGGCAAACTAATCAGCGGAGTATACGCGATATATAAATAATGACTAAAGAAATAAAGCGCAGTATGTGTGGTCCATGTTTTTTACACAGGCATGTTACGGCATGCAGAGTGTGTTATGATTTTTTTTTTGATACAAAACACGTAGGAAACCACCAAGTTTCGGATCTCTGAACAAGAGATGATACGGAGCATTGATATATGTACTTAAATATATAATATATTCGAAACAATTCGAACAGAAAATAGATATTCTGGAATAGTTGTATCGACAAAGCATTTAACCACGGTTTCGTGGATATTAAAATAATATAGAGACAAAAAAACTATGCTACAGAGCTCTTCTCCAATCCAAAAATAAAGTCTACATAGAAAAATAAACACAAATATGTGTAGTCACATTTTCTGTATTCTCAGTATACTGAATGCCGGGTGTGTTAAGACTTTTTTATATAAATTCGTAAGAAACCTCAAGTTGAGCGGGTCGCTGAACGATATATACTCGGTAGCGTGATATTCGAAAAAATCCAAACAGAAATTTATATTCTGGTTCGCCACAGCTTTTAACCGCGTTTTGGTTGGCATTATAATAATATTAAGAAAAAGAAACTTTATTACGGAAATTCTCGTTCTGTTAAGAATGAGTTTCGAGCCAAATTTTGTGCAGCAATGAGGACCATTTCTGGCTCAATGGGTATGTAAACAAGCAAAATTGCCGCATTTGGGATGAAGAGCAACCTGAGGCAAATCAAGAGCTGCCATTTCATCCAGAAAAAACAACAGTTTGGTGTGGTTTGTTTAGGGGTGAAATCATCGGTCCATTTTTCTTCCAAAAAGATGCCGGTGAGAACGTAAGCGTCAATGACGACCGTTATCGCGCCATGATAAGCGACTACTTGATGCCTGAATTTGAAGCTTGTGACCTCGGCGACATTTGGTTTCAACAAGACAGCGTCACTTTCCGCACATCGCATCAGTCAATGGATTTATTGAGAGAACACTTCGGTGAGCAGATAGTTTCACGTTTTAAGTCGGTCGATTGGCCACCAAGATTGTGTGATATCACACCGTTAGACTTTTTACTGTGGAGATATATAAAGTCTAAAATCTATGCTATCTATCTTGATTCAAGCCTTGTAGCAAAACATCACGCGCGTCATTCGACAGTTACCAGTTACCAGTCGAAATGCTCGAACCTGTCATCGAAAATTGAACTCAACGGATGGACCATCTGAGGCTTAGCCGCAGCTAACATTTGAAAGAGATAATCTTCAAAAAATAAATGCCAAAGAATGTTCTTTCGAATGATAATAAACATTCCGCATAAAATTTGAATTTTCTGTTTTTTTTTTTTAAAAATAGTCCTCGAAATGGTTGATCTGAAATTTTGTCACACGTCTCTTTTTTTCCAAGAATCAGCTCATTTCTTGGAACTGCCGATATCGAATCACTATAGGATATACATAGCTGTTATACAAACTAAACGACCAAATTTATATGCTTGTTGGGAAAACTTTTTTTATTTAAGATATATCTTTACGAAATTTGGCATGGACTATTATCTAAGACCAGGCTACAATCTCCGAAAATATTTTTCAGAAAAAAAGGACATTTGTATTTGTGACGGGTACTAAAGCTTCGGTGCAATAGAAGTTAACGTTTTTCTCGTTTTTGTTATTTTTTAAGGGGTTACAAAAAACGCACTATTTTCAATTATTTTGTTACATAATTAATGAAATGTTTTATTCAAACTTTTTATTATTCTGAAGATACATATTTGATAAGGATTTTGAGAAATTTTCAAAGGAAAATACACAAAACTCGGTCATAACGACGTCATTTCCGGCAGTCCCTCGGAAAAATGTTGCTTCCGCGTTGACAGCAGAATTTCTCACAGAATCATCAAAAGTAAAAAAACAAAATACGTGCTTAAACCAAGCTCATTACCTAGATATTGGACGGAGAAAAAAATAAAAACAGAAAAAAAGTGAAAATTGTATTTTTGGCAGACATTTTTACAAAAACATGCAAATTTTGTTGAAAGTTGCCCTTTTTTTTTAATAGTTGTAATTGAACAAAAAAAATCATACGCGACAAGACTTTTTATATCATAACTCAAAGACCTGTGTAAAATTTCATTAAGATCGGTTAAGTAGTTCGCGAAAAATCTTGACAACTGACTTTGAAAACATATTTTCGAGAAAAGCGCGTTTAAAGTTTTAAGTGACTATATCTCCAAAACTACTACTACAAGTAGTATCAACTTGAGAATCTAGGACAATATTCTAGAGTTGTTATACAATTAAATAAGACAATAAAATTTATATATATTTTACAAAAAAATTTTTTGAAGCCGTGAAACCCATGTAACCCTTTAATTTGTATGTTTACTTACTTTTGCACGTGCAAACAGCTGATCGATGCTTGTTCTGCTCTATCCAACTGACATTTGTTAGTGCGTGAAAATTCAAACTAAAGATTGTAGTCGACGTATGCTAATTTGACAATTTTGCTGAGCGGCGGCAGAGAAACCGACAATTTTGCTGACAACCAAATGATTGATTTGCATTTTAGTTTGATTAATTAACGGACTGTATGGTGGCACAGGCCGTTTGGCAACACTTTGTTTTTTAACACTTTCTACTTGAATACTACATTTTCGCAACTTTTAAAAATTTCACACACGGACACAAAATTGAAATGTTTAGTAGTTTTGTACCTATAATATAATAAAATATAGCTAAAATCGGTATTTTTTTAACAGAAATTATTACATTTTTTTATTTGTATTTTTTCATTTATTTTGCACTTTTCGCACATTTTCAGGCACAAATAGTTGCATTTGCAAATGTATGCATATCAATTCTAATTTTATGCTTGACATTCACATTGACACTCATTTACTGCTGATAGCAGCGCTGTCGCCGACACTTCGCTATTTCCAGCACTTTGTCGGCTGAGATTACGCTGAATTATTAATTAAGCGGCTTGCAATTAAAATATACAACAAATTCAATTAAAATTTCTACTACACTTTTTTATTATTTCATGGTTAGTTAATTAATGCACGTAATCGAGTTGCGCGTAAAACACACACACACACAAACATAATTACAAACACACATGCGCAGCACGCATATCCACAAATTCAGCCTCTTATTGGAATGTAGCAACAAACATATGTTAAAATAAAAATACGCAAGTTGGCAATGCTGCAACGTAAATAAACAAATGAAGATGCACACACAGAGAGCGAGCGAGCGCTGTGTTGCTGGCAGCGGAGGAGCGGCAATGTCGTATATTTCCTGTCGAGAGGCAAGCACATATATTTACATATTATATACCATGCAGTGCATAAGTATGCGTGTGCCTGTGAGCGCGCCTATTATTAAATATAAACGTCAGACAGCATTTTTGACAGTTGCATGACAGCTATAGTGGCACTCTACCAACTAAAGTGACAGCGCTGGTGTTGCGTGCGAACAGCTGAGAACACGATTTTTTTTCTGCAAGTGATTGGGCAGCATTGACGCTTATAACTGACTTGCTGCCGTGCGCCCACCCACCCTTTTTGCAACTACGGCACACACAGATACTGCAAGTGAGCATATACTCACGCACACAAACACACGCAAGCGCTCACTCACGCTCACGCTCTCTATGCGCTCACTTTGAATTGGTAATGCTCCGCAGTCATTATTTGGCACTGTGTTGAAAGTTAGTTTTTTTTGTTTTTTTTTTTTGCTTTCAAATAAGAAAACTTGTAGATACACAGAAGCGCTGATACACGAAAATGTTGACGAAGCTGCTGTAGCAGTACGTAGGGAATTTGTAATATAAAAAAAAAAAAACTACACGAAAAGCGTATGTAGCAAGGAAATAACATTAGGCACAAAAAATAACACAATTTCATTTTTCTTTTTAGTGTTTTCTTTTGTCATCACTACAAGTAGTTGGCATGCCTGGAGCGTTGTTTCATTTGTATATGTGCATATGAGTGCGCATTGCTTGCACTCTCGTCGCGTACGCCTTGCTGCGTTACGTACTGTAAGCGTTTGGCAGCGGCAGAAACTCATTAAAAAGTGGGCGCGTTTACTAAATAATGATTGAATGTAATATTTTTTGTGTAAAAAACTTTACAGTTGCCTATTTTAAAACGCATGTAAATATTAAAAAATGAAAACTATGATTGATAAAAAATTCACTTGGGTCCAATAAGACTAACATTGCCCGCTGTTAGTGTTGCTTTCCTTTTTTCTATATTTATACCCCGTACAGTGTATTTTGAGCTTGCCACGAAGTTTGTAACACCCGGAAGAAAATATCAAAGAACCTGCAATATATGTATGTATATTATATTTTTGTTTAGCCTGAGGATAAAATTTTTAGATTATAAAAAAAGAAAATTTCGGAAAAAAATATTTTTGTTTTAACATCTAGAGGTGGCTCACTCACTTTTAAAGTAAATTTAGAGCTAAAATTTTTTTTGGACAAAAAACTATTTTTTTTGGTTTAAACTCTTCACATTTATGTAAAAATTACCGAATTTGACGGTTTTTGATTCAAAATTTATTTTAACGCTTAAGGAAAACATGTTGTCGTTTAGGACTCTTTTTAAAATTCCAATAATGAACACAAAACATTTTTTTAGATTGATAACTTTTAATTAGCCTGAAAGAGCACTCTCCACAGCTCCTAGAACACTTAACAAAATTTTTTTACGAAATTAAAGTTTTAACTCGAAATTTACTTTAAAAGTGAGGCCCCTCTAGATTTAAAAAAAAAAATGTTTTCCAAAAAATTTTCTTTTTTTATAGTCCACAAATTTCAGCCTCAGTCTAAGCAAAAAAAATATTTTTTTTGCTCCACCCTAATTTATATGTATGTCTATAAATAAGCAGCGTGTCAGCTGAGTGGATTTAGCCATGTCCGTCTGTCCGCTTGTCTGTCTGTCTGTACATGCGCATACTAGTTACTCAGTTTTCGAGTTATCGCTATGAAATTGTGCACACATTCTTTACTCCCCAAGTATCATTTGTCGGTACGCCGCATATTGGACCACTAAAGCATATAGCAGTCACATAAACTGAACCATCAAAATTAAATTCTTGTTTGCAAAACTTTTTTTCCTTAAGCAAGGCTACAATATATCTGAAGAATTTTTTCAGATCGGCTTACTACAACATATAGCTGCCATACAAACTCAATGTGCAATTTGAGTTCTTGTATGGAAACTGCTTTATTTGTGTAGGGTATTCTAGCTACGGCGCAACCGTAGTTAACGTTTTTGCTTGTTTTTAAAAGCAGTTTTCCGTTAGTCGACTTTTTGTCAGCCAGTCAGTCATTGAGTCAGTCAAAATCAGTCAGTAAGTCAACTACTCATCCAGTCACTTTATTCGCTGCTATAGCACGTCTGCCTTTATTTCACTTAATTTTCTTGTTATATACATACATACATACATATATTTACTTATTTTTTGTTGCATGCCATGCAGCAGCGGTAGCGTTTATTGTATGTATACATTTGCTAAACATGTATGTAAATATGTAAGGCTTTTAGTGTTTATGCACACATATACACATCATTTTATACGCGCTCTGCCACATAAACGTACGTTTATAAATAAATAGCTATGTAGTTGTGTGCGCGCACTGTGCATTATGGGCGCACATTACGTTTATACAACTGTATATACATAAAACACTTTATAGCGCCGCGCATCACTTGTGTATGTGTGTGTGTGTGTCGTTGTATGTTAATATGCTTATGCCTCTCTCTCTGCTGTGTGTGTGTGTGCGTTAGTGAGTCCAGCGCTCGCAAGCATACTGCGATTTCCACTCGTTCATGCGCCCCACCACCCGTCGCACACGACACACTTTGTACGACATAGCGCTTTTTTACACGCCCCCCCCTCCCTCTTTGCCACTTTGCATACGCTCGTCGTGCGCTTAACTGGAAGTTTTCCACATTGACTTCTTCACTTTTTCACTGCTCTGCGTTATTTACACTTTTTCACATAGATTTTCACTTTTACCAATGCTTTTGCACGCGCACAACATTTTCGCATACATTTTTCACTTATTTTTTCAATAAATTACCCGTATACTCGTATATTTGCTGGCACCGAAATCTTTTTTCCAACTTGACCGCACGCTTTGTCTCACTACACTACTCGCTGCTGCTGTCTACTATTGCTGTCCAGTCATCGCGCACTCTTTTGCCGTTCATCACTTGCACACTCGCACTTTGCAATTTACTAATTTTCCACTTCATTTCCATGCAGCAATTTTGCATTTAGTTTATTAATGAATTTTTCGCAATTTTTGACACATCCCTCAGCAAAATGTAGGATAAGTGCCGTTTTTCGTGTGTTCTCCTGCAAGCTGTTGCAGCCGCACTGTGTGCACATACACAACACAACTCCCGCCTTAGGTGGGTGGGCTAGCTAGCTAGCTTGGCTGTCTATTCGGTTAGTTGCAACCGCGGGGAGTGTGGCGTTGCCGTTTGAGAGGGGGTTTCGAAAAATTCCAACCGTGCGAACACAACATAATAACGAGATTTTCAATTTAATACTGAATTTTGTTTGCATGCCAAACGTGCGAGCGCACCAAAAACGTACGAATGAAGATGCGTGCAGAGAGCCAATTGCCACAAACACATACATATGCATATATGCACGCATGGCAAATGCAATGCTGCTCGCGCTCAGTTTGGCTTGAAGTATGCTCTTTGTTGTGTTTTGTGTATATATGTGTGTGTGTTTGATTGGTATTCAACGGACTTTTCACTAATATTTTAAGCTGACTTTTGCGCTGCGTTGGCAGCACTGCGCGTAAAGTAATGTGGAAGTGACGTTTGGTTATATTTAAAATTGAGTTCGAAATAACAAAATTTTGTGAAATCGTTAAATAGAAATTAGATAATTATTGTAAAAATTAGAGAATTATTATAAAAAATAAGAGCACATTTCACTTAAGAGAACTTAAGAACACTTTAAAGCCCATAAATATCAAAGCGACTTTACCATCAGCAGCTTGCTAGTTGTATAGGCAAGTGCCAGAACCAGAGAATGTAGATTATAATATACGTTCTCTGCCAGAACTATAAACATTTGTCCGCTCCCCGCTCAAGTCGCTAGCCAGCAGCAGCTAGGGTAAGAACAAAGAAAAATTGCTAGCCACTTACAAGAAAATCGGTCGGCCGGTCAACAATTACGCAGTCACAATATGGTCGCTTGAGTGCAGCAGGATGCAGCTGAAGAAGTTACAGACAAGAGAGAACACCTCATTCCGGACTAACACAGGATATCTCTTGATAACCCCCTTCGAACACCACCATAGTGAGGCCCGCTTGCTAACGGTTGAGTAATATAATGCACTCCTCTCCAAGCAGATTCTACTAATATATATTCGCGTAAATTACCTTTGCTGCGATTTGCTTGAAGCGTAGCCGCTTGCTAGGAATATCAACAGTACATTCATACAATGCGTCGACGAGCAATATAGCGACGCAATTTCGTACGCAACTAACTTCAGACACAAACTGAATGCCATTCACAGTGAAGCCATCAACACCCTCATCGACTGCCGCTCCCAAGACAGTCGGGTCTATGTAACCGGAACGGACCCGGATTTATTCCGGCCAAGGACTGTCAACTCGGTAGAATTCTGCCGCTACAACAACAACTGCCTCTCTTACTGGCGTACTTCAAGTCAAACCAGCAGCTATCGCAGACCTTGAGCTGGAGTTGCCACGTGAAACTAGAGTGATCCTGGCGCAACTTCGTTCTGGATATTGTAGCAGATTAAACTCCTATCTATGCAGAATTGACCACGCATACCATATATAATATATGTCCTGCGTGCGTATACTCTTTGCATAACTCTAACCAACTTTTTCAAGCCCAATAAACTCCACTCAGCTAACATTGCTTTCGGTATGGTGCGACCCCGTCCGGGATCCTCCGTTTGATGATTGCGATGACAAACTAACTTAAGTCTTGCCAACTAAACAAAGGTCTGCCGCAAAAGTAGTTACTACCTGCAAATAACGAACGACTTAACCTGTTTTAAGAGAGAGTTTAAGACAATTAGGAAAATATATATAATACTTTTTTAAATTCAACATAAGCCAACATTAATTATAGTTTATTAATTCAACACATTCTTAACTAAATAATACAATTTGAATATTTAGGCATTAATTCACAGTAACATTTCAAATTCGAGCTTCAAAATTAAATTCGAAGATTACAGCGTTAAGAGAAAACTTCTGTGGGTGCATACATATATAAAGCAAATGGATTTTAAAGCGTTACGGTATTGTGCTAGCGCTGTAATACTGATTCACATTAATCAAGGCAATCAGTTGTCCAATCTCCTCCTGATAACCGTGGCGCACAATCTTGGTGCCGAGGTATATAGTGAATTTGATGAATTTGTCAAACTCTTGCTCGTCATTGGACAGCTTGTCGTAGCGCGAATGTGTGTAGTGCTCATCGCCGCTGCGCTGCTTGAACTCGCGCGACTTGAGGTTGCTGTGGAAAATAAATAAAACTGAACATGCAAAAACAGCGCAACATATAGCCATTGTCAACTCACTTGTAGAAGCGCAATGATATCTTGAATATATTTTCAATAGTGTTATTGAACTCCGCGCTGTGCCGATTTAGCATGCACAGAAAGTTTATGCGCTTCACATAGGTTGTGTGCTTACGATAGATATCCTCAATGGATTTGGCCTGCAGCAGATCGTCTTTGAATGTCTTCCAGGAGGCCTGCAATGCATTGGCGGTGATGTGATTCTGCAGCGCATGCACGAAATGATAGAATTTGTGACGTATCAGCTGCACATGACGATATTGTGGCGACTGTAGCAGTTGTTTGCCGTGCTTTTTTAACGACTCCTTGAGTATTTGATAAGCACGTTCCAGCACCCAGCTGATGCGACGCACTTTGAGCAGATATTTGAAAATGTTGCCATACTGTTCTAGTGTTTCAGGATTGAGTATGAGATTCAATGGCCAGTCGATGCGATAGCTGAGACTAAGCACATTCAGCACACCCGGATTGGCAAGGTCGAATTTCTGCGGCACATCGTTTATGGTGAAGGAGAGATGCTCAGCGTTTTTGTCATTGCCTGTGAAGTTGAGGATTTTATTTGGTTTTTATTGTTATAGTTTGGGTGTTAAGGTGCATTCTAGTTGTCAGCGAGTTGTCTAACGGGAGACCCAGGAAACGTGCTATTTCGACGGGGTCGGACCATAGGGAGAGAGGTTTTTGAGGAGTGGGATTTATTGGGTTTGCAAAGAGGTGGTTAGAGTCATGCGAGGACGAGGATCATGAGGTATAGATACGAGTTTAAACTGCTAAAATATCCAGAACGAAGGCTTCTTTATGTAGTTGTTCAATGGCAGACATCAGCTGTTATCGTACAGGTTGTCGTTTCACTACAGCCAGGGACCACAACGGTGCTGCGTAATTAATAGACATTTACTTACCTGTTATGCTCGAGCTGAGTGCTGTGTCGAGTATCGAGTGCAGCATTTGGTAGTTAAGTAGCTTCGTTGGAGTTGCGCCACTCTCCAATTTGCCAATAATGCCGTCACAAATTATGGAGCCGAACTCGCCGTCCATGAGAAAGAAATAATGCCTTAAGCTGCGCAGATGATCCAAGATTTGCAACTCTTCGAGAAATAGACGCATTACTTCATTATTGACCAAGCCGAGGTGTGTGGTCATCGGCAAAATGACGGATTTTTGCAGAAATTCTGTCAACGTAATGACACTCATGCTGTTTACTTTCAATTGCTGCAACGATTCACGCGACTTTTTGGCCGCCACGATCATTGGCGTTTTGCTCATATTCAAGCGTATATAAGGACTGCGTGTCGCGCAAGTGAAATTACTCTCGAGCAACTCTCTGCTACGTTTGTAGGGATCATTGTAGTCTTGTGCTGGAATGGCTACTTCCTCCGTTTCGTCAGCGCTGGAGGTGTACGACATAGTGTCCGACTGCATAGCCGCCTCTACGGCGACTGCCTGTTGTTGTTGCTTAACACGAGCGATGTCTACAAAATCAAATCCTTGTTTTGCCTGCAAGCCGGCCGTATTCAATGCACAATCTGGCGTCAGCGCTGCTTCCGCTGTCTCCGCAGTTTGGCAGCTAAGCAGCCCATCCGCAGCAGTCGCGTTTTCAGCTAACTGTTGTTGTTGCTCATTAGCGAGTTCCACATTGATTTTTAAAGCTGACTTCGACGACACATTGCCATTAGCTAAATCAACTTGATTTGCTGCAGTTGACGGCAAATCTGTAGCACAGTCTGTGAGCGGTGTATCCGAGGTGGTGGACATAGGCGTTATGCACTGTTCCACGGTAAATGTGGTAGTTGAGGGTGTAAGCCCAGTTAATATGTCAAATTCGCTTTCGAGCACACGTCGACGATTACGCGCACGCTCCGTGTTCAAGTTGAGGTTCAGCTGTGCGCGATCGGGTAGCGCACTTTTATTGTACTCGGTAAATGGATCGTTTTGCATCATACGTCGACGATTACGCTGCAAATCTGTCAACTCGTCATCTGGTAGCGTATTTAAGTTGATGTCTGGTTGAGTTGATGCTTGCGTGTTTGTGCTGTATGTGCCGAATTCGTGCGCGAGCACGCGTAGCTTATTGCGTTGTGCCTCAGAAAGCGCTAGAAACGGTGTAAAAGGAATTTAAATATAGAAAATGCTATACAAATTAATATAACCTACGTTTCTCAGTTGCTACGGGCGCAGGTGCTATGGTAATGGTAGTACTGCTAATATTTGACGTCAACGGCACTGTGCGGCCGGCTGGAGCTATTGTCACCGTTGTGCTGCTGGGATTTTGCGCAACACCAGCAGTAGCCAACTCATTTGAATTGATCACATCGGAGGCGCTGCGCTTTAAAAATGTGCTTTGTGATGGATTTGCCAATAGGGTTGTTGTTTGTGACACGCTGTAGTCCAACGCGGTATGCAAGCTAGTCTCCGAGTTAATCTCTTGCGGCGCTGCCAACGTAACTAATGTTTTAACTGCGTCGATGTCACCAACGCATTCAGACGACGGCGCAACACAAATCGCGTGCAGCGCGTTTTCAGTTTCTGCGAATTTCTGCACAAATTCCTCCGACAGACATTCAGCATACAATGAAGCTGAATCGGCATCAGCGTCAGCATCGGCATCTTTCCCTACTTCGCCGCAACATGACTCAAAATCGGTATCTGTGCCGCCACTGCCAGGCGTCTGTGGTGCCGTCGCGCTGCTCTCACCGCTGCCTTCACTCTGCGCATGCGATTTGGACGATTGCGCGAGTACGGCTTGTGACTCAGTTGCTGCTGTAGGTTGATTGGCGTACACATTACCGCCAGCAGCGCTGCGCATCGTATCGCTGAGCTCCTGATAATACTCGATACGTTTGCGCAAATTGATATTTTCACGCAGCAAACGCTGCTCCTCCAGTTTTTCGGTTTCACGCAGCAAGCGCAACTCTAGCTCGACATTGGCGCGTCGCTCGTCAATTTTGCGCTGCTTGGCATCCTGTAATTGTGACGTCAGCTCAGCCAACCGACGCCGCTTTTGCTCAGCAGCCAACAACGCGAGATCGTGTTGCTCTAGCGCCCATTTTTCGAGATTCTCGCGTGTGCGCTGGCAGGCGCGCTGATAGAATTGGCGTTTCTTTGCTTCGCGCGCTTCAAATATTTGACGTATGCTAATGTCGCTGTTGCCACAAGCAGCGCGTGCTTGTGCTCTATATTTGATGCACTTCTTCTTGAGATGCTGAATTTCTGCATACGTGAGACACACGGTTATGAGCGGGTAGTCGAGCGCGAATAGTGGATGCTGTAGTGGTAAGCAAAGGGTTTGAATTAACAGAAAATAAAAATAAAACTTTATTATAGGCGCTTACATGCGGTTTGTAAGCTTTCAGCAGCATTGTGTACTTGCCGCACTGCAAAATGTCATCCTCATGGCCTTGAAAGAAGCCCGGCACGGATTCCTTGCGCACAAAGTATGCTTTATCATAGAAGTACTTCGTGTCGGCGCGATAATGATCCACGAAACAAATGAATAGCTCGTTGGATGGATCGTCCAATAGCCCGTAGTAGATCCATTTCTGCAAATGTCTGCGTTAAAGAGTTAAGCACAGTTGTAATGTGAAAAAAAATAATAATTTTTTGCTGTCGTACTTGAAATAAACGTGGCAGCAAGACTTCAGTATATACACTAATAGCATAATATAGTCCTTTTCGGTTGTGTGCACGATCTCACGATATAAATAGCCGAGAAACTGTGAACCCATCGGCAGCGCCACATGCGCGTCCACTGTGAAAATGAAGCATAAGCATAAAATTACACAACACAACAACAAACCAATACCGTCTGTATGTATGGCCAGCGTGAAGCACAGATTGCTTATTTGACGCATAGCTTTGCGCATGCGCGCATAGTACGCAATTAGCGTTTCATCATGCTGCGCGAAAACATACTGCCGAAAGGTGAGTAGATACTCATCTATGGCGCTGCTTAGTGCCTGCAAGCAGAAACAATATGCACTTGCTGTTTACAAAACATTTCACCTAACTCACGCGAAATATGAAGCCTTCAAATATCAGCTTATAGTCCTTCTTCTGTATCATTGTCTGCAAACGTTTATAGCAAGTGCCGCACTCCTGAAAAGTCAGCGCGTAGCTGCTGACTGTCTCTGGCAGCAAACCCTCCACAGTGATGCACGGATGCAGGCAAAAGATCATGCGTTCATCATGTTGAAATATATCCGACTGAATGCCGACAGTAAGTGACTTCAGATCACGCAGAAATGCCGCGCAAGTCATAACCAGCGTTTCGAATTTGTGTCCACGCATATGCATTAGCTGACACTTGAGCTCGAGCATTACGCCGGCTTCGCTAGCGCATGGACGTTGCCGCAGCACGCCACGACAGCCCAAACTTTGCCAGTTCCAGGAGAGTATACGCGGTGCTTCGTCCAGCATTTGCTGCTTTGCAATCACAGGCAATGCGTGTTGTGCCGCTGAAGCTTTTAACTTTAACTGTAAGCAGTAGGTGCATATATATTTATACAAGTGTGTAACAGTAATTTTTATTTATACCTTCGATTTATTCGCCATGTTGACAATTGTTGCTGGTTGCGTTTCATTGTCGGTCAGTAGACGAAAAGCATTCAAATTTATGCGCACCGTAGCGCCTAGCAAGCGACGCGTCATCGCGGTGAAAGTGCAGTCCTGTGCTGTGGCTGGTGCACGCGTCTGCTTGGCACCATATTTCTGTTCAATTTTCGCCAACAAATTGCATTCCTTGCCGAGTAAATTTTTCGGCAGATAAGGGTTATCAAGCGGCTCGATATCCTTTATGCCCTTGAATAAGCGCGGTTGTGGGTTAAATAGATCGCATGTTTGTTGTTTGGGGTAATATTTATTATTTTCATAGCTGGCGAAGAGCGTGAATGGACCAGGTACAAGCAGCGTGGGCGGACTAGGTACAGGCTAGAATTACAAGCACATTTATATAATATGTACAAATAAATAGTAATAAATATTTATACCACTTGATCTTCCTTGCGCACATCCCCCTGCAGCGAGAGCAATAGTTGCAGCATGTCACGTCCCTTGCCCTCTGTGAAGTATGGCACATCGCTAATGGCTGCCATTTGCTCTTCAAGTGCCGCATAACGTGCGCAAACCAGAGGATCGGCGCGCGAATGCAACTTGGCGGCAAATATGTGCATATCAACAGCACGTTGAGGATCGAATTCTCGTGTTTCAGCTGCTGTTGGGTACACATTAGGTTGTGGGGTTCTTTTCAGCAAGATTTCAAAGGCGCTTGACTTCAGTTCCTGCACAGCTGTGCTACACTCGGGCTCCTTTAAGCCATGTTGGCTGGCAAGTCTGCTGCATAATTGTGTAATGAGATAATTAACACTATCTGCATTAGCTTCCAGGTCTGCGTCATGCATGACCGCCGTTTAGTGGTGCCTAAAGTTGTTAAATCAATTAAATTTCGTGCAAAAATGGATTTTTTCACTGAATAAATTCTGCGCTCATCGTTCGATATTTATTCGTTTTTTTGTACTTTAGTTTTGTGTCGATTACCAGTAGGTGTCGCAGCTGGTGTTTCACTTTACAAACACAATAACAAAAATGTCAACAAATAGTTTTCCATTAAATTCTATTTATTAACAAATAATTTAATACGTTTGCCGGCGTATATTGATAAATATTCTAAAATTTAACATATTTTGAAACATCTTATGCTTAATTTCTACGTAAATTATGTTATTTTGACTCACCGGCTTTTCGCATTTGTTTATAAACAAAAAACAGCTGTTGACTCTATGTAAAAGATTGTTGGAAACATAAATGTAATAGATTATTGAAAATTTTTGACCAGATTGCTAAAATCAGCGATTGTGCTGCCAAAATAATTGGAAAGTAATAACGAGTTAAAGGATTTTCGATATGCGGTATTTAAAAATAATTGCTAAGTTTATGTTGATTTTTGCAAGTTAAAACAATTTTAACAATATTTTGCTACTTCTTTTGGACTTCTCTTGTACATTTGTATTAAATATGAAATATTACAAATTTATTATACATTCTGGCAATGCGCGAGTTTTAGGAAATTTTCACCAATTTTTAAAGCATTTACAATTTTTATAAACAAAATTAACGTACTATTTATTAGAAATAGCTTTCGCACGTAATGTTCCGTAACTTTGTCATGTTGTACGCTATATTCTTATTGGATATTTTCTGGGTCTTATTGGCACGAATCCAACGTTTAGTATGAAATCTGCTGGCAGCATTGCAGTCAATCGAAAATTTTCTTGAGATTCTTTATTGAACTAGCTGGAAAAACTGCTGCGTTCCTTTCAATGAGAATTATACAAAGAAAAAGTTAAAATTTCCTATTTAAACTAGTGTCTAGTTGTAGTAGAAAAGCAGCACAACAAATTGGTATATAAATTTTGTCAAAAATTTCGAGTTTAAAGCGTAAAATTGCATTTGAAAAACTCGGAAGAAAAATTTTGAGCTGTGAAAATTTTGTGAGTGGTGTGCGTGCGGTGGGTGTATGTGTGTAGAATAAATAGTTCGCCAATAGTGTGGAAGGGTAGTAAGTACAATCAGTTTGACGAAGGGTGCAATAGCTTGCATAGTTGCACCATTACCAAGTGAAATAAAATTATTAATATATTATTATTTGTAAAAAGGTGGAGGAAGTGGTGTAGTGGCGGTGCGGTCAACGGTGTGTGAATGAACGACGCGTGCGAAACGTATCTGTTGAGGCTCTGTGATAATCATTAGTAACGGCGTCGCTGCGGCATCAGTTTACGCAAAATTGAATTTTCCCAAAGGCCGTACACCAGCTGCAGCTACAAAAACAAACAAATTTCAATATATACAATATCGAATAGAAGTGGAAGTAATAACGAAGGAGTACAACAGCAACAAAACATCAATATAAATTGTTACACGGTCAAAACAAATCGACAAAAGCGAAAGTGACGACATCAAAGTCAGCGGCGACACGACGAACCTAACAACAACTAGGGAGGGGCAGTGGCTACAACAAACTAAACGCGATTACTTGTCAACAGAAGCGTTGGGGGCGGAAGAGGTGTAATTGCTGTGTTGTGGAATATACACAACGCACATACGCACGCAATATTTCTCATTGAGCAGCGTGTGTGAACCAACACAGCCGCTTCGCTTGGCTGGTTAAAGCGCGGCAAGGCAAGGCTGGAGGTTAACGCGTGATTCAAAAACAGAATTAAATTGAATAATTTTTGCAAGCTTTACATTCAATTTGAACCACGTAAATAGTAATTGAAAATCGTGTTAGCATAACTGGATTTACATCAAGCATTAGAAAAAATATTTATCAGTGCCACAAAAAGGCTTTTGCATGATAAGCAAATACAAAATGTAAACAGCTTACCGCTGCTACGACAGCTCATTATAGCACACGTAAAATTATTTTCAACAAATTAAGACGTCTAAAGTTGCGTAATTCAGTAATCTGTACATCTATTCATAACAACAATAATCTGTCATTACTTATAACATTTAAAAACATAAACATAAGACTGTTCCTTACGATAAGGTGCAGTAGTGACGTTAGTTATGTCCTCGTGCAATTCCACTGCTGATCTTTATTTACGTCCGCTGCCTTTTCTCGATGCCAAATGGTTACGCGCCGATCTCATCTCAAGCTTGCGCAACGTCGAAGATGCCGCCGTGCTGTGGAATAATCTCATACAAGATTGTGAATTAGTCTCGTCACCGGCAGCGCCTGTACTCAATGCGGCTGGTCATCTCTCCTACCTTGGCGATGATGGCAAACATTACTGTGGCATACAGAAGCTGCAATGCTCCTGCTGTCCACTCGACTATTGCGGTCCACTATCGGCATGCAATTGCTCCGCATGTCGCACGCTCGACTCTGATTCAGCCATCAAGAAAATGACCACAGCAGTGCAGAATGCTGCCGCTAGCCGCATTTCGTCAGAAGTCATTTTCGAATCATGGCTTTGGGGACAAAGTCCCAACAACACAGTAAAATTGAATTGCCAGAACACGCTGTTGGCCGAATTGCATGACATTTCACTGCAGGCGGCGGGCAACTGCCTTTCCGCCATACATTTGCGTCAGCAACTTTTCATCTATGAACGCTATTTTGTAGCGCTCTCGCGCTGGAAGCAACAACAGGAACTGCAGTGTCACATCACAATTGGCATGCCGAGCAGTATTGTCTCAACGAACGCGGAGAAGTGCAAGTTCAATGAGGATCAACGCACCGCCGTCAACAGTGGCATTAGCCCGTTACGTATTAGGGAAATGAATTACCATGCAACTAACAAATTACGTCACTTCTCCACCGTAGACGTGCCATCGCCTATAAAGGAAAATGAACGCGCCACTTTAGGCTTGGCTCGTGTCGGCACACGCGCGGCGCTTAATTTTTCCTTCGCCTTCTTGCGACGCGCTTGGCGTTCTGGCGAAGACACTGAAATGTGCAGTGAGCTACTGAGCGAAGCTTTAGAATCGCTGCAAGATCTGCCGGAGGCATCGCTCTTTGATGCCACGCAGGTGAGCATTGCATTTTGTATATGCTGAGTACTCTTTCACATTATTAAACATTATTAAACTCTCTCGTTTGCAGGTGTCACCGCTGTGGATCGAAGTGCTCGAGCGCTCTATAAAGTTTCTGCGCCAAGTAGCGCTCGGAGATCCCTTAGGCGGCCGGTGTACAGCACCGCGTGAAGATCGTCACACCGCTTTGTGCTTGCTGTTGGAGCTGGGCGCACAAAAGGGCACACTTGCCGCCACACTTGAGGCAATCGTACTACTATTGATGCTTTGGGAGAAAGAAAAAGAGACGGACGACAATCGCGACGTGCCACAAAACACAGGCGCACCTTTAGTGCCCATACTGCGGCGTTACGAGAGCATTGGTAACTATGGCATTAACAGTATGGCAGAGTCGGCGCCGGCCAGCGCCACCGAATCCTTTCTACGCTTTCTCACGCTACCCGAACAAGACACCACCAATGTGGACTTGAAACAAGCCGCAGTCGTCATTGTTTCACATCTCGATCGTCTCGCAAAGCCGCACTTGCCCACAAGCACAGCAAGCGCGCCACTAGCAGCGCGTGCACAACCGCCAGCTGTCAAACCAACTTTACACGCGCAAGCGTCGCAGGAGAGCGCATCCGCTGCCTCATCACCGCAACTGCATGAGCAACGCATTTACGCGCTCGGTTGGCAAACACTGTGCCACGATCAATATGGCTTCACCGCTGAGCCGGCTGTGGGCTTGACAGCCGCAGCAAACACTGCTGCGGGCGCGCACTATCCAGCGCCTGTGCTGAATTTCTATTTCCAAGTAAAGCAGGTCGCCTTCTCCGAGGAATATGTGCTCTTTCTCACACACGAAGGCAAGATGTACACTTGGCGCATTGCCAAACCGGAGACGGAGCCGATGCTTATTGAGGAAATGAACGACGTGCCGGTGACGGCTGTGACGGCGCATTGCGAGGGCAGGCACTTCATGGCCGTGGATAATATGGGTAAGTACAAAGCGTTAAAATATAGCTCTACGCTGCACTAAATTTTTCTATTTCAACGCGCACAGAGAATGCATACTCTTGGGGCTGCGGTGAGGGTGGTCGCTTGGGGCATGGCGATTCGTTGCTGCGCGAGCAGCCAACCAAAATACAAACGCTGGAACATAGCGTCAAGGCGGTATACTGTGGCTGCACCTACAGCGCGGCCATCACCATGAACGGCAATCTCTATACTTGGGGACGCGGCACCTACGGCCGACTCGGGCATGGCAATTCAGACGATAAACTATTGCCGACACATGTCTACGCTTTACGTGAGCATAGCATAATTGACGTGGCGCTAGGCAGCGGCGACTCACATACACTATGCCTGACTGCCGAGGGTTTGGTGTTTGCTTGGGGCGATGGCGATTACGGTAAATTGGGTAACGGCTCTTGCAATGGTGCGCAGCTGCCGCAGTTAATCGAAACGCTGCCGCTAATTAAACGCGTATTTGCGGGCTCACAATTCTCAATGGCGTTGAGCTGCGATGGTAAGCTGTATTCGTGGGGCAAAGCGTACGATGGCCGCTTGGGACATGGCTTACTCGACAAAAATGTGCAGTGTCTCAACACGCCAAAACAGCTAAGCGCCTTGCAGGTGCGTTGCTGTGTATTTTCTATTGTAAACTCTAATATAACTTTCTTAACTCTACACCTACGCAGTCAAAGGTCATTGTGGATGTCTCGGTCGGCGTTTGGCATTGTCTTGCTATGAGCAATAAAGGCGAAGTTTTTGGTTGGGGTCGCAACGATTTCCAGCAAGTGTGTCCAGCCGCGATCTCTAAGGAGCCCATACTGCGCGATCCGTTGCTCGCTACACACCCGTCCGTACAAGCTTACGGCATTGCTTGCGGCGCCGCGCAAAGCATTATATGGAGTCAGACTTCGGTGCAAGGCGTGCCGTTGAAAATACAATTTGTTATCGATCTCAGCGAACACACATTTCGACTGCTGGATCAATTGCTCGGCATAGTCTGTGGACAGGACAGCAACAATCGACAAACACCCAATCAGGAGTCCGAGTGCATTGCAGTGGCCTGTTTGAATCTGTTGCGTCTACAATTACACGCGCTGATAGTGAATAGCGTCGCGCCAAAATCAGTGGGTTTATCCGAAGGTTCGCGCCTGCTGGTCAGCTTGAAAACGCGCATACTCAGCTTGGCGGGTGGCTCCAATGTACTTAAAACCATGCAAGAGGCAGCGCAGTGGACGCTGCAGGTGTGTTGAATTTTGAAAGAAGAATTTTACAGTTAACCAACATTTATGCTTGTAGGTCGGCTGGAGCGTTTTATTGCCCACAGCTTCGGAGCGCGCACAAACTTTGACTTCGCTGCTGCCTACTGAGTCGGGCATCTCCTCCTCGGGTCATCGCTTCATGACGGATCTGCTAGTCGGTTCACTGATGGCCGAAGGCGGTTTAGAAACTGCGCTCAAACAAGCGATACGCCTTGAAGCTAATGATTGCACCGATAATGGACACAATTTACCGTTACTACATCTAATCAAACAACTGCTACGCAACAATTCTGCTTTGACGCAAGCGCGTTTAACACAACTGCTAATAAATGCTGGCATTACAAAACCCGAAGATGACTCGTTCAACACGCTCTCAGTCGTGCAAACGCAAACGTTTGCCGAACATACTAGTCCGAGTTTGGATTTGTTACATCGCTTTCAGCGTTTACTCTTCGCACACATACACCAGTCAAAACAGGAGGAGATCAGCGGTGCCGAGGCGCTGCTCAGCAAATATGTGCAGAGCGCGGTGTCGCTATGCATACTCTCGCTGCAGAAGGCGCACGAAATCGCATTGCAAGGCAAGGAGAGCGTAGCGGACATAATAAAAACCGATATATCCGATACGCTGTTATACGAGCTGCTGATAGGACTGATCTTACTAAAACGCGATCGTCCGACGATTTTGCCCGCTTTCGAATGGACTAAGATTTTTCTGCCGCTGCTGCATGCGCTGGACAATTTGAATCGCATCATATGCGACAGTGAGTTACAGGACTCGGACGACATGGGCTGGCCAGGCATTATATGCCGCGGCAATCAGAAAGGCGCGAATATGCAGACACAGGACGATGTGAATTTGATACGCAAAAATGATTTCGAAAACCAAATACTCGATGGCGGCAAATGGATTATACTTAATGGCTATGTATGTGACGTCAGCGACTATCAGTAAGTTTAAACTATTGAAGCGTACGAAAATCATGCTATTTATGTCTAAACCATTACAGCAGCGACAATGCGACCATTAATGAGCTACTGGCAACGAGTATCGGTAAGGATCTCACCGTCGAGCTGAATACCAACATCTATCGTAACTATTTGGAACATATTTTGAGCAACTACAAGGTCGGACGCTACGCGGTGTACGTGACAGAGGAAAAGGTTAGTTAAACACCATATAAATACCAGAATTAACTACAATTTTGCTCACGCTTACAGCCACATGTGCAGCAAAGCAAAGTGCTCACGCACTTCAACTCGGAGCGCGCGTTGGCTTACCTACTCGGGCTCGTTGTCAATCTCTTGCAGACCGGCCCCGCACAACAGCCCGCAGAGTTGCAGTGCAAGACCATAGTGCGCTCCAGCATACTACGCGGCGGACTGCAGCTCTTGCAGCCGAGCAATCCCTTCGATGAGGAGAAGGGTGAGGCGCGTAGCAGCGCTAGCACCGCCGGCAGTACGCCCACCGAACCGCCTGCACACAGTCTAACTATTTGTGGCGGCATTGGCGGCGTAGGCACAGCCGTTGGCGTTGTTGGTGGTGTCGCTGTAGTCGCACAACCGCACATTAATAGTGTGCAGCAGCGCATTGAAAGCTTTATAGCCGGTTTGAGTGAGGCACGCTTAACCGATGCACTGGTCGTCACTTGGATGACACTCTCCGAACGTTACTGCAAGGATAACAATCTAATTTGGCATCAAGAGTTCCCACACGAACATCCCGTGCAAGAGTTGGAACGTTTACTAACCGCGGTGCTAATACGCCATCAGAGTCTGGGCGGTCTTGTGTTAAACGTGTTGGAGCGTGAGTTGAGCGGTGTGGCTGTAGCTAAGACACCACGCCAAATTGCCGACATGATACGACTCATCTACCAAACCAAATGGTCCGTGGTGCGCATACGCCAGCAGCTAAATCGCAGCTATAAGGAAGTGTGCGCCGCCATGCTGGAGCGTCTGCGCTTTCTGCTATACGAAGTGCGTCCGGCGGTGAGTTTGGAGCAGGAGGCGCTACGCAAATTACCCATATTACATCGGCTGCCGCGTTTCAAGCATGTCGTGCGGCGCATCATAGCCGAAATGCGCATGGCCAAGAAACAATTGGCCTGCGCAAAGCCTGAAGACATACTCAATGTGACGATACAGAGTCAGAATGTGGCGCAAAAGCTGAATCAATCTCATGTAAGTTGTTGCATTGCATAAACACACACGCGTTTTGCACTTATTACACTGTTTTTTTTTTCTTCGCAGGAATCACTACTGCAAACCGATGGCGCCGGCTCAGAGGCAACTGTGAAGGACTCTGGTGTCGGCACGGCGGACAGCAGCTCGCTGGCCAGCGCCACGGTGCTTATGCCACCGCTACGTGGCAACTTATCCAACGAGAATCTACTTGACGGCGGCGACAACAATGTTATACTCAGCGAACGCAAAACCTCCAATGAAGAAATCAAATTGCAGGCAAACGAACTGGACTTCGATGTTGACAAGAAGCCCGCTGATGACGAACCGCGTCTCAATAATGATCTTTTACGCAAGCTGCGCGAGAAATGGTACTTCTCCGGCGAGTTGAATGTGCCCATCATGCAAGAGATTGTCGAGTTCGTAATGCAAGAGGTGTGCGATGTGGAGACTGTGCGTCGCGCTATGTACTGTCAGGTGCAACGTTATCAAATACGTCGCCAGGGTCTAGAAATGCTACACGCCATGTTGCAAGTGCATGGTCTGCTCGATGCCGTGCAGTATAATATGCTTAACGGTTATCTGGGCTTGCATCTCAAGAGCAGCTGCAGCAAGCAGGCAACGCTAAACGTGCTGTACGATCTTAACATGATAACGGCTTTTCAAAAAGCCGATCTGCTGCTTGCACAATCACGTGTGCTCGAGTGGGCTGTGCACGAACTGCAGCGGCTGGTCAATCAGGAGCTCATACAGTTGAGGGGCAAATACAATGCGGGCAACGGCAAGGATACCTCTAATCTAGGCACTTATGTGTTCCTTAAAAAGCTGCCACGTGCGCGTTTTCTGCTAAGCGTGTTCGGCATTCTAGCCAAGGATATGAGTGCCAATGAATTGAGTTTAATCGTAAATTCTGGCACACTCGGCACGGTGCTCGGCTTACTCAGTCAGACCGGTGGCGAGATACCGACGGTGAAGAACACCTACGATCTCTCGGTGGTGTATGAAGATACAATTTTGAAACAAAAATCGAATAAGGCGAACTTAACGGGACCAGAACTGGCAAAGTTAATGAAGATCGGCACGCGTATTGTGCGCGGCGCGGACTGGAAATGGGGCGATCAGGATGGCAATCCGCCTGGTGAGGGACGTATCATAAGCGTAGTGGGCGAAGATGGGTTAGTACTTACATACGAAGTTGTAGCAAGTTTTTTTTAACGGTTTTAAGTAAACGCAGTAGAACAGAACTTTTGCGCCATTTTGGAAACTTAACCAATTTGCAGATTTCGCTTCTTGCTCTTCTTTCTTATACACATACATTCCTTTATCTAAACTCACGCTGCCTGCTCTCTTTCAGTTGGGTACGTGTTGAGTGGTACACCGGCGCTACAAACTCCTATCGCATGGGTAAAGAGGGTCAATATGATCTGCGTTTAGCCGATAGCGCTTTAAATGTCATCTCACCGGACACAGAAACGGAAAAGGATGAGCTGTGCTGTGATGTTCAGCTGAATGGCGAATCGCACCCGACCAAGCTATTGCGCTACGCCTGCACGAAAACGCTACAAATCATCTCGGTAGGCATTGGTTTACACAGCGCGCAGATGGATAAGTGTGCCGTGCGCTGCATATCCTGCATGTTTCGCGCCGTACTCGAACCCAAGTCGACACTGGGCAATATCTACGGTCTGGACAATTGGACCACATTAGGTTTTCTGAAAGCCATTGCAGGTGAATTGCAGCGCATACTTTTATATTTTTTATTTTATGTTATTCTAACGATTCGTTTAACACCGTTAGGTGAATCCAAATCGCTCGCCAAATATTTGTCCTCGAGCAGCTGGATCGACTTCTACATTAGCCTGCTCGAACAGCCGGTGACGCGTGAACAAGATCTTTTCCGCAATATTCACTGTCTACGCTTACTGCAGAGCATACTCATCCACTGGACCGACGCTGCGCATACCCAACGCATGTCTTTATTGGTGCGTCAGCTGTTCTCCACACTGGGCAAGATTACGCTTTACTGCCCGCAAGATATGTCGCTGTCACAAAATGTGGGCGACTGCAAGACACGCGTGCTGCTGACCGCCTCACACTCGGGCACCATCGCCGAGGAGATCATAACTCTACTGCGCCGTCTGCACACGCTACCCTACTGGAACGCGGCAATAAACTCGTTTCTGGCACAAAAACTTTGTGTCGCCGCCGAACTGTTTGGCGAAGACGGCCTAGACATGCAACACTTGGAAAACGAGTACGTCTATGTAATGGGCGTACTTTGCACTATAGGTGGCTGCGACATACGACCGCGCATTGGCCTACAAGTCTGCTATGAGGGTAATACGGCCACCATTTGTGGCTTCACCAACAAAGGTAAGTGTCTGCTCAGCACAGATGGTCAAACGCTGAACGGCGAGTTCCGTAAGATCTCGCTGAATGTGGCATTCGAATGCGCCGACTATTCGGTTTTCAGCCTCTCACGCATGCCGCTAAATGAGATGTTGTTAAACTCTTGGGCTGTGCTGCTCTTCGGTCCTGGCGAGCGCAAGGAATGTGTACCCAATGTGGTGGACATCAGTCTACTGCGCGCCCAACAAATACAATTGGCAGTTTTAAATGCGAATTGCGTGCTCTATCGGCATCAAGCGGCATTAAGAAAGATACTGAAACAACGTTCACCCGGCTTGTGTGCCTACTCTTCGGAAGAGAGTCTCTCGGAGGAAGCCAATGGCGCTGTGAACGTTAGCGGTGAAGGTAAGTCGAACACCGAGGCTGCTTGTGGCGGCACTGAGACCACGAACTGCGTTGAACTGAATGCACAGCCGACAATTACTGAGTTGCTCATACAAAGTATTTTGATACGCGCCACGCAACCGTCGCCCATTAAGGCGATCTACACTTATAGTGACTTGTCAACTGCAGCGCTGAATTGCGCACAAGTGCTCGCTGCCAAAGTGCACACTGAGCTGAACGAAGCGGCCTCAACTAGTGCCGGTCGTGGCGGCGCTTTCGCCGCATCAACACCGCCCATGCAACCCACAATGATACACGGCGTGCCAGTTTTTAATGTCGGTATGTTGGATGAGGCGACCGGTGGCAGTCAACCGCAAGCACCAAAACATGATGCAGAAGCAACACCGCTCATTGCGCAAATCATGGAAATGGGCTTCTCCAAAAAGTCTGTAGAGTTGGCGGTCAAGCAGTTGACCATACATCCGGAGGTGATACCAACACCTGAGCAAATCGTGCAGTGGATACTCGAGCATCCGGATGTTTGTGCAAATACCATAGATGCAACAGACTATCTGGAGCCGCCGTTGTTGGGTGGTAGTGTGCCAGCCGCCGGCTCTTCAAGCGACACTTCACTGCAAGCAAAACTGCAGACTTTGCACGATCCGGAAGCTGATTCCGACAATGAGAGTTTGGACAGCAGCTCCGATACCGTCGAGGGCTCATCCATACATGAACAGCTGGTGAAATTTGAAACGCGAAAGGACTTTCCCTCAGCCGATCAGTATGCATTGTATGTGCGCGGACTCGTTTGTCCCGGCATGCTAGTGCGTTGTTGTCGCGATTTTGAGGAGATTAAAAAGGGTGATATTGGCACAGTGCTCAAAGTGGATACGGAGGGCTTGCATGATCTGAATGTGCAGGTAGACTGGCAACTACACGGAAACACCTATTGGGTCTGCTTTGTACACATCGAGCTGTTGGAAATGCCGCGTGAAAAGACGGCTTGCGAACGCTCTGCGCAGGTAAGCGTCGGCACACAGGTACGTTTGCGCGACCTGTCACGCTACAAATGGGGTTATGTACTGCGCGGCAGTGTCGGCACAGTGACCGCAGTACGTGGTAAAGATGTCACCGTAGATTTTCCGCAACACGCAGGTTGGAAGGGTACGCTGAATGACATAGAAGTGGTGGGTGGTGTTAGTAATCAAGTAGCAGGCACTACAGGCGGTCTACTTGGTCTGAACAGCGGCGCGGTGCCAACACCCAGCGATCTTATCGAAGATTGGTCCCGTTGCATACGCTCACTTACGGTATCCTCGAACGAAGCAACTGCGAAACATCTACTCGATCGCAGTCCCTATTGCTGGCAAAGTTCATCGAGCAGTCAGACCAAGCATTGGATACGCTTGGAGATACATGAGCATATATTGGTGCACAGTCTTTCGATTGTGGTCAGTCCGGGCGATCACTCGCATCAGCCCTCATTGGTGGTGGTACGCGTCGGCGACAGTATTGGCAACTTGAAGGACTACTCATGGATTTCCATAAAGAACACCGACACAACGGTGACGCTGATGAGCGATGTGCGCCATTACTTTCCCTGGATAGAAATAATAATCAAGCAGTGCCGCAACAATGGTATACAGTGTAAAGTACACGGACTGAACATCATCGGACGTCGCAAGCAAACCGATCTCGATTTGCTGCTTATGAATGCCTCATTCTTGGCTTGTGAATATGAGCAGATGAGCGACTCCAATTCGTGCTTAATCAGTAGCTATGGCACCGCTATACCTAAATCCTCAAAGCTGTACGACTCACCTTGTACTGTAATGGTCTGGGGTCTGAACGACAAGGAGCAACTGGGCGGTCTCAAAGGTTCCAAAGTGAAAGTGCCAACATTTTCACAAACTATCAGTCGCTTGCGACCCATACATATTGCGGGCGGCTCGAAGTCGTTATTTATCGTCTCGCAGGATGGTAAGGTGTACGCTTGTGGTGAGGGTACGAACGGTCGGCTCGGCCTGGGCATCAGTGTGAATGTGTCAGTACCACGACAGATACCAGTATTACATCAGTATGTCGTTAAGAAAGTAGCCGTTCACTCGGGCGGTAAGCATGCAATGGCTTTAACGTTGGACGGTAAGGTCTTCTCCTGGGGCGAAGGCGAGGATGGCAAGCTGGGACATGGCAACCGACTTACAATGGACAAACCGAAACTTATTGAGGCGTTGCGTGCAAAGAAGATACGTGACATCGCCTGTGGCTCATCGCACAGCGCAGCTATAACCTCTGCTGGCGAACTATACACTTGGGGCTTAGGCGAATATGGACGACTAGGACACGGCGACAATGTTACGCAACTGAAGCCGAAATTGGTAACAGCATTGAGCGGTAAACGTGTTATACAGGTGGCGTGTGGCAGTCGCGACGCGCAAACTTTAGCGCTAACCGAAGATGGTATTGTCTACTCGTGGGGCGATGGTGATTTCGGCAAATTGGGCCGCGGCGGCTCAGAAGGTTCTTCGATACCACACGAAATCGAGCGTCTGACCGGCATCGGTGTCATACAAATTGAGTGTGGCGCACAATTCAGCCTCGCGCTTACACGCGCCGGTGAGGTGTGGACTTGGGGTAAGGGTGACTATTATCGTTTAGGTCACGGCAGTGACCAACATGTACGCAAACCGCAACCAATACAAGCACTACGCGGTCGTAAAGTCATACACCTAGCAGTGGGTGCACTACATTGCCTGGCCGTCACCGATACCGGACAAGTGTATGCGTGGGGCGACAACGACCACGGGCAACAGGGTTCTGGTAATACTATAGTGAATAAGAAACCGGCGCTGGTCATTGGCTTGGATTCTGTGTTTGTCAATCGTGTCGCTTGCGGCAGTTCGCACGCTGTCGCTTGGGGTTTGCCGCAATCACCATCGGAGGATGAGAAGAGAGGTCCTGTGCCGTTTTCGACCTCTAAAGATCCACTAGGAGGCAGCAGCCTCGGCATTTATGACACTGAAACGCAGCTAAATACATCAACAACAAATATGTCTAAACCGACGTCGAAAGTCAGTCTCAGTGAGACGTTGCTCTCGCTAGAAACCGATGGTGCACGTCAAACTGCGCTTAACTACGTGCTGAATTCCATGAGCATACTGCAGGCACGCCAGCTGATTGTCGCTGCACTGACCAGTCACAGCAAAGTGAATTTGCACGAAAAGAGTTCCAGTGAATTCGATGTGCAAGACGGCGCTAACGCTACTTTAGGTAAAGAGGCTACAATTGGCGTTCTAAGCAGTACACCGCATGCCACATTGGCCGGTCATAATGGCCACAACAACAATAATAACTGTAATAACGAAGTAATCGAACAGGGCGGTGGAGAGGCGCCAGCCGATGCCACCGATCCGGCCGTACACGAAACCTCGCCAGAGGCGGAAATTGTGCCCGCACCGGCTGGACCGCTAAGCGCATTTCAAAGCTTAACCGGTTCACTCTCACTTTCGGCATCGATTTCCAGCAATGCACCGCATAAACATTCTAAAATGTCTGCCAGCGCTATGTCTGCGCTGGCCGCCACCATGACCAACCAGGAGGAGATAATTGAGGAGATCAGTCTCACCGGCTTGGATGACTTCACCTCATTGTTAGGTGAGGCTGAAGCTAAAAGTCTAGTGGAGTTGCTTAAATTGAGTGTCGCTGGCCGCACAGGACCGCTCAGCACTGCGCAGACCATTTCCGATACACTCACTGCGCTCGGTTCGAACTCACCTAGTATTGGGGCCATGTTGTTGGAGACTTGTATTACAGAACTTGAAGATTTATGCACGTCACGCTATAGCCTGGGCAAAGTACCAAAACCTGTCATGCGCGAGAGCAGTCATCCATATGTCGACAATATGACAATTGTGGGACAAGTGAAGATACCCGGCGCCGAGTCGCTCCGCATAGAATTCGACAGTTTGTGCAGCACAGAGAAACGAAACGATCCGCTAGTAATTATGGATGCCTCTGGTCGCGTAATCGCTGTGCGCTCCGGCCGTGAAGACGCGCATTGGGCACCTGAAGTGCGTATACTCGGCGATGAGATGCGCTGGAAGTTCACCTCGGACAGCTCCGTAAATGGCTGGGGCTGGCGCTTTTGGGTGCACGCCATAATGCCGGCGACCGCATTACATGAACGCGGCTCTGACCGCTCAGTGCTCTCGCAGCCATCAATGCCGTTAGTGATGGCTTTGCTGAATGAGCGCCTAGGGCCACATAACACGAGCGTGCTGTTGCGATTAGCAGCCGCATTAGCGGCCTGCGCGCAGCTCAACTCGCTCGCAACGACACAGCGCATTTGGTCGCTAAAACAGCTACACACTGTATTGCTGTCAAAACATGCACCCAAACCATTGGATCCTACGCTAAACACGATTTTGTTGCCCCTCATACCGGAATTGTTGCGTCAGTATGAGTACGAGGAACCGCAAGTACGTGGCGGCATATACCTTATGCACTCTGATTACTTCAAAACGTTGGCGGCACTCGCTTGTGACATGCAGTTGGATGCTGCATTACCACCAGCCGATGTGCATAAGTGGGCTTGGTTCAAACGCTACTGCATTGCTGTCCGCGTGGCGCAATCGCTCATAAAGCGCACCGAATTGCCGCGCACATTCTGCATGGAGGTGCGTAAGAAATTCGCCGAAATGATGCCACCGCCTCAACCAAGTCATTCACCAGGCGGCGGCAGCGTCGGTTCGATGATAAACTCGACAACATCGCTTTCGTCTGCAGGCAGCACGAATAGCAATCCAACTCCTCCACCACCTCCATCCAGCTCAACTATGGTCAACACTTTGACGCCTAGCACCAGCAATCTTATACAATACATTGACTCAATGATGTCGCTCTCTCTACATGAACCCAGTAGTGGTAGTGTCATATCTGGTGTCTGCGCCAACCTACCACCACTGGCGCCCTCTACAGGCAATGATATGCTACAATTTTTACACGAGGATCATGTGGTTTTTAAGAACGCGCACGATAGTCAGCTGCTACAATGGCTTAATCGACGACCGGACGACTGGGCTCTATCGTGGGGCGGTGCTAGTACAATCTACGGCTGGGGCCACAACCATCGCGGTCAGCTAGGAGGCTTGGAAGGTAGCCGTATTAAGACACCAACACCTTGTGAGGCGCTTAGTCTGTTGCGACCCGTCCAACTGGCCGGCGGCGAGCAAACACTCTTCGCTGTCACACCCGATGGCAAGTGTTTTGCTACCGGTTATGGTTCGGGTGGTCGTCTTGGCGTAAGCGGCACAGATTCCTGGGCTATACCAACCTTGATTGGTTCACTGCAGCACGTTTTTGTCAAGAAAGTAGCTGTCAACTCGGGCGGCAAACATTGTCTCGGACTAACAACTGAAGGTGAAGTATATTCTTGGGGCGAGGGTGAAGATGGCAAGCTCGGTCATGGCAACCGCATGAGTTACGACCGTCCGAAGCTGATTGAAGATCTCACTGGTATTGGTATAGTGGATATCGCTTGCGGTAGTGCGCACTCTGCAGCTATAACCTCGTCGGGTCATGTGCTCACCTGGGGCAAAGGACGTTACGGTCGTCTGGGACATGGAGACTCGGAGGATCAGTTGCGTCCAAAACTTGTAGAAGCGTTGCTAGGTTATCGCGCCATTGATGTGGCTTGTGGCTCTGGAGATGCTCAAACGCTTTGTATCACCGACGACGACAACGTATGGAGTTGGGGTGACGGCGACTATGGTAAACTGGGACGCGGCGGTTCGGATGGCTGTAAGCTGCCCTATAAAATAGAAAGCCTCGCAGGTTTGGGCGTTGTGAAGGTGGAATGTGGTTCACAGTTTTCGGTGGCGCTCACCAAATCGGGCGCTGTCTACACGTGGGGCAAGGGAGATTTCCATCGACTTGGACACGGCACTGTGGATCATGTGCGTCGTCCTAAAAAAGTAGCAGCACTGCAAGGTAAAAAAATTGTCTCGATTGCAACGGGCTCACTACATTGTGTAGCCTGCACGGATGCGGGCGAAGTTTTTACATGGGGTGACAACGATGAAGGTCAATTGGGCGATGGCACGGTAAGTGCTATACAACGGCCACGACTAGTGGCTGCACTGCAGAACAAACACATCGTGAAGGTGACCTGCGGTTCAGCGCATACGATTGCTATGTCCACATCACAACTGACCAACCGCATGCGTCCGCCACCCAATCCCCCGCTCGAATATGACCTGGTGCGCGAAATGCCACCAGAGGCATTGCATGCACGTCTTGTACTGCTACATCATTTCTCCGAGCTGCTGTGCCCCTGTTTAGCCATGCTGCCAATCACAGGTGAGCTCATGCAACCTTTGAGTCGCCATATACCAGTTAACTTTTTTGTTTTTTATTTAATCTCTGCCACAGGTGATCTCAGCTTGGGCGCTTTAAAGGATGTGCTCGTGTACACCATCAAAGAGGCCGCATTCCGCAAGGTCATACAAACAACTATGGTGCGCGACAAACAGCATGGACCGGTCATTGAGCTCAATCGCATACAGGTGAAGCGCTCGCGTAACAAGTCTGGTAATGGTCTCGCCGGCATTGATGGCATGAAGAGCGTTTTCGGTCAGATGGTGCAGAAATTGCCGCTTCTAACGCAAGAAGCGCTTTCGCTGCCGCACCGCGTGTGGAAGGTGAAGTTTGTCGGCGAGAGTGTAGACGATTGTGGCGGCGGCTATAGCGAATCCATCGCCGAAATGTGCGATGAACTGCAGAATGGCAGTGTGCCACTGCTGATAACAACACCTAATGGACGCGGCGAGGCGGGCGCCAATCGCGACTGTTTCCTACTAGATCCAACACTCGGCTCCGTGCTGCAGATGAACATGTTCCGCTTCTTAGGCGTGCTGATGGGTATAGCGGTTCGCACTGGATCGCCATTAAGTTTGAAGTAAGTGCGTCGTAGGTTTTTGCCTACTAGCGTTTTAACGTTCTCATTACTTTGCAGTTTGGCAGAAGCGGTCTGGCGGCAATTAGCAGGAGAACTGCTACGTCCCTCCGATCTCACAGAAGTTGATCGTGATTATGTGGCCGGCTTGCTTTGCATACGCAACATGGATGATGATCCGAAGGTGTTTAGCACACTGGAGCTGCCCTTTTCCACATCCTCGGCCAAAGGCCATGAGGTGCCACTCTCTACGCGCTACACGCGCATCTCGCCACAAAATCGCCATGAATATGTGCGTTTGGCTCTTAATTTCCGTCTACATGAATTCGATGAGCAGGTTAAAGCGGTGCGTGACGGCATGTCCAAGGTGATACCAGTACCATTGCTGTCACTCTTCTCGGCGTCCGAACTGCAAGCGATGGTCTGCGGCTCCCCAGACATACCACTGGGGTTGCTCAAGTCCGTGGCTACATACAAGGGTTTCGATCCGAATTCGTCATTGGTCACATGGTTCTGGGAAGTGATGGAAGAGTTCTCCAATCAGGTGAGTGCAATTAAATGTCTAACCTCGTTCCTATGCCACATTTTTTTTTTTTTTTTTTTAAGGAACGCTCGCTATTTCTACGCTTTGTTTGGGGCCGCACACGTCTACCGCGCACTATTGCCGATTTTCGTGGCCGGGACTTTGTGTTGCAGGTGCTGGAAAAGAGTCCACCCGACAATTTTCTACCAGAGAGTTATACCTGCTTCTTTTTGCTAAAAATGCCGCGATACTCTTGCAAGGTACGTAAAAATGCTTTAGATAAGTTATGCACTTGCGTTTGGCTTATAAAAAAATCAACTTCGAAAAATCGAAATTTCAATTTCGAAAATTCGAAAATAAAAATTTCAAATAATTATTTATCAAGTTAAGCTGCAGTGAATTTCCAATATATGCATATGAGTAAACATATGTTCGAAAATACGATGTTAAGAAATCTATGCAAATATCGTAATGCAATTATTTTTCCAACAGGCTGTTCTGCTAGAAAAGCTTAAGTACGCCATACATTTCTGCAAGAGCATTGACACGGACGAGTATGCACGCGTTGCCATGGGTGATCCCACCGAAGCGACAGGCAGTGAGGACGACAGCGATCTGGAATCGGCTGCGAGTAATGAGGCCTAAATCAAAATTAATTAATAGTGGAACGTGAACAGTGCTTCACGCTAAACAAAGAATAAAAAAAAAAACAAAAACAAATATATTGAAAAATGAATTTCAAAGATATTCATGCATGCATGCATATATACATACATACATAAATTTTGTGAGAAATGTAGTTTATAGTAGCAGCGAACGTAGTTTGGTAAGTACACTGGCAAAAGCTGATTTTATTTTCGCATATAAAAAAATTGGAAAATAAGTTTAGTAATAATAAATGAATTTTCCGCTATACTTGCAGCACCTTACAAAAGAAACCATACGACCCCACAGAAACGAAGCGAAGTAATTGAAAAGGAAATAATTAAATCGCCTTGAAGGCAACCCAAAATATGTGTAATTTCGAAAATCAAATGAATTATTGAATTCCATGTTTTAGCAACAGCAATCCGCACATCCAAAAAAAAATAAAAAAAATATATATATATGTATATTATTGCAGCAAACCAAAATTCCGTTAAAATAGTATTAAAACACACAAATTTTACTGCGAAAAAAAAAAATTATGTTACTAAGTGTTAACGCAAAAATATTGTGTGGCATTAATAAAAATTATTGCAGCTAAAAACGATTATGTAAATCACACATACATACATCTACACATTCACACATACATGCTTTCAAACATTGAGTTAAATGCAATTCCATTCTTTTTTGTGCTTTCTATGAATTTACCATATTTTGTATTCGTCTTTTTGTGAATTTCCATACAAACAAACAAAAACCTAACAAATATTACAAAACCTGCTAAACTTTAAAAATGGATTTAACAAAGCTATTGAATAAAAAATATTTTATAACTTTATATTTACTCAAGAAGAAGAATATGTATTAATTTTAGCACGAAATATGAAAAATGTTTGAGCATAAACACGTAGCGTTCTAAGCTCGCGAGTTTGTTTAGTAGCTTTAGTGGTTTAGTAATTAGCAAATTTAGCACTGAAATCAAATTTTTTGAATTAATATTATTAAATTAATTTTTTTTAAGTATTTAGCACGGAAATTGAAATAAAATTTTTAGTTTAATATTTAAAAATAAAAAATATTTATTGTTTTTTAAATATAACTTATTATTATTTTTTTTTTTTTGACACTATTGCATGACTTAAATGCATAATTTTAATTTTTAAATTATTAAACATTTATTTTAAAAATATCGCAATATATATTTTTTTTTATTAATTTTTACAAATGAACTTTATTATGCAATAAATAACATAAAATTTCAGAAATTAAAAGCATATAAAACAATAATTTTTTTTTTACTTTTTTTTTGTATATTAATTGCTATAACTTAGTTATTATCAATTATGTTCACTAAAATATTTCGTTAGAAAAATATTATATTTATATACATATGTATATTTCATGTATATTTCATGAAAATCTTCAGAACTTTATTAATTTTTTTTAATATTATTTTTTTTTTATATAATTTTTTTTATATTATTTTATTTTATATTGTATTTTTTTTATATTATTTTTTTTATATTATTTTTTTTTATATTATTTTTTTTATATTTTTTTTTATTATTTTTTTTTATATTATTTTCTTTTTATATTATTTTCTTTTTTATATATTTTCCTTTTTATATGTTTTCTTTTTTATATATTTTTTTATATTATATTTTTTTATATTATTTTTTTTATGATTTTTAGCGGCAGCTTAGTTAGAGAATTTAAAAATTATGCTTTCGTCTCACGCTTAGTTCAAAAATATGTGCATAATTTTTTTTTACTAATTATTTAAAAATATAACAATTTTTATATGTATTTATATATATATACAATATATATGGATGTGTTTGTTTGAATATAATATATTAATTATATAATAAATAAAATTAATATTTCTATGAAATTTAGTGCTACAATTATATTTATATAAACTAAATTCTAAAATAAACACACGCGTATACACACATACACATTCATACAACTAGAAAAACATCAATATTTTAAAATGAAAATTTTCCACATTTTAATTGCAAATTTAGCAAATATTTTATGCGTAACATATTTTAGCTTTTACTATGTAGCAAAACCTTGAAAGTGTATCTTATTCCAAACAAATACCTTATTTGTAGTGTTTTATGATGAAAAATAAGCGCAAAATGTATTTGAAAAAGCGCAGTTGCTGTGTAGCGGTTCAACGCAATTTTATGAAATATTAAAGTGAACAAAAATGAAATAATAAAAGCTATTAAATTAAAAAATAATGTATATATGTATATTTTGTGTAGACGAAAAATGGCGTAGAAAACTTTTACACACAATATCTTAACTTAAATTTGTATTTAAATGTAGTGAACCTTAAGTTTTTAATATTTTTTAATAAGTTTTAAAAAATTTTTTTTTAATAAGTTTCCAAAATTTTTTTTTTTAATAAGTTTCCAAAATTTAATTGTTGTCAAAAAATCAAGCTGAAACTCAAAAAAATATTAGCTGCATAAAAAATATGTTGAAAATATTGCACAAATGTCATTTAATTATCGGCATCGCACGATTTCATTTTTGCCGTCTGCTTATGCGCTTTGACGGGCCCCAAAATGTGCACTTCGCGTTTAGCAGCACTACCTGCATCGGCCACTTCAACTGTATTCACCGTAATGCCGTTTTCATTACCAACAGTATCACCGGTATTTGTGGTTGACGGCTTATTCGCGTCAATTGCGCGCCGCCAAGTCTCAACATCGCATGTGCTACCGCTGGCATCGCTCTCATAGTGATCTGCCGTTGCTGCTTTTTCATCGTGACAATTCTTACACTCACAGTCGGTGCATTGAGTTGCTGTCTTTGAGCGTTTGCGTAAGCGATGTATTATGTAGAATAAAGCGAAGGAAGCGTAAGTCGCTTTGGCAACCTGCCAATAAAATGTTCGTCATAAAATGCAAATGAATCGTAGAAATGGTTGGCACTACTCACATTAGCTCGTCCAGTGATGGTGGTACTATTGAAAATTTTATTGAAATTCGACATTTTATTATTGTTTTACCTGGCAGTATTTATACAATACAAATTTTTGACAATATTTATGTATACATTTCAGAAATTTTGTTAGAGCAGTAGCAAAACCTGCATAAAATATGTCAAATGTCAAACAACTCTTCACCCAGTAGTGCTGCGATAATCTGCATACATTTTTATATTTTATTTGCATTTAGTAGTTGAAGTAATCGCATGATTTGAATAGAAACAGTAAAAAAGGTTAACTTCACAAATAAAAAATTTCCATTTAAGTCTAGTCAGTTGGTATGACAGCTATATGCTATAGTTGTCCGATCTAAACAATTTCTTCGTAGATGTTACCGTTGCCTTGAACCATAATCCATGGCAAATTTCGAGAATGTATCTTATCAAATAAAAAAGTTTTCCATACAGGAACTTCATTATGATCTTTTAATAATGTTAAAAGTTAACCTACGTAAATCATTAGCGATTCATAAAGAAGCACTTTATACACAGTTGAAAGTACGCATAGGGTCGAACAGCATGAGCGCAGTTATGACTCTACATACCACAGGTCAATCAATTATGGAACCCTATCATCAAGTAGTATACCGCCCAGTACAAATTTGTTGCATAGGCACCGATTAGGACTTGAATTAATTGTATATCCACGAACCATGACTCCATGACTGGACTCCAAAGCTGATAATGCATATCCAGACACTTTAAGGCTTGAAGACAGCATGGTAAATATAACTTGCGTTTTTTGCAGCCGTCCAATATGTATATATATTATTATTATAGGTATATGTAATTTTAGTATATTTTGAAGGCAAAACAGTTTCGTTTCGTTTCAAGTGTTATTGACCAACCTGGTTGGAAGATAAACAGGGCTAGAATTATTACTTCTTACGTGCAAAAAATAAATAATATTATTAGAATACTACCGAATATCTGTTTTTTTTTTTAAAGCGATTTGGGTACAAACTTTCATGTTGATAAACATTCTTATCTGTATATTAGCATTCTTTACTATATATTATATTTATTGCCGTTGATATTCGTTTTTGTCTTTTTCGCAAGTTGTTGAACTTAATTCGTATTTATAAACAATAAATTTGGTTAATAATTCGAAAGTCGTACGTAGTATTGACCTTGAGATACGCAGCGTGGGCCAATTAACGTCTGCCACAACGAAATTTCTTTTGCTGCTATAGTTAGCTAAACTAATATACAATACATATGTATGTATGTGCATACATATAAATGTATATTGCATGTGTACTGTGCATGCGTTTGTTTATCGTTATACAATATTTACAACATAAGACGCATTTAATGTTTCCAAACATTACCTTTCTACAAGGAAAAATGACGTTTTATTTATAATTTTCAACGTCGGCTGATAGGTATTACGAAGATGTATTCTTAATATGTTTTACATGGAAGCTAAAAATTAAATTGTTAAACGAGCGTAAATAATAATAATAAGCAAAAGACTTCCTTTTCGAAACGTCAAACAGCTGTGACTTTATAAACACACATGTGTACATGTGTATGTAAGTACATACATTTGTAGACATGGCGATCTCAATGCCAACGTTAGCGTTCATTACACTCTTTGTGGTCAAAGCAGAGAACATTAATGAACTTAAATTCGCTGGTAAAAGCGTTCTTTGTGCTTTTTTTTACTGTTTAACTAATTACAACAATTTATAGAAATATTTATATACATAGATATGTACTTATATAGTCTTCATTCGAAAAAGCAACTGCTGCGTACAAAGAACGCAAAAGTTCTTTTACCCCCCCCAACTTATATTTCATTGGAAAATATTATTTATAAAGGGTGGATGTTGGCGAAAAGTTCGTGCACTTATACACGCATACTTTTGTATGTATTCCGTACTTACACACATACATACATGCATACATGGAGAACTAAATGCAGCATATTGAAATACATATTGATTAGCACTTAAATTGTCTAGACGAAAAAGGTTCAGTAACCTGTAGATTTTATTGCAGCTGGTTAGAAAATAATCCTTTGCTAAAAATCTATACAAAAGCTATTCAAATCAAAAGTCACTGATCTCTAGTGAAAGTACATTTAAATAATACTGTACTAGAGGCGTACATACTTACATGCATATGTATGACCCTGTAATAATATTTGCTTGGAAATGTATAAATACTATATTCATACATATATGCATACATACATATGTAGATATGTGTCTAGACTACGGAAATACATACGTACAAAAGTCGGTCAGGGCTACTAAATGACTTCCCTATACCTTTTTCCTTTGCTTAGAAAATACACAAGTATGTATGTATATTGCGTTAATATATAAACATATGTACATACATGCATTTCTTTGGCAATGTTTTGATGTGACCATCGAAATTTCAAGGAAGCACCAAAAACACCGATAATATTGTACATATTTATATACAACTGTTTACTTCATAAAAACCTAACTATATACTTATACATATACTAACATTTGTAGATAAGCCACCTCATCGCTTTCCACTTGCGAATTTTTATTAGTCATTTGTAATAAAATTTCTTGAAATATATTCTTATATATTATATAAATATATATGATAAATGCATGTAAATTATTTAATAATTTGTTTAACATACATACTATCATATGTATGTAAGTACATACATATCTAAATGCCCAAAAATTCAAATCCAATTCATATGTATGTATACAATTGCTTATGCATTAATTCCCCTTTTCCTCAAACAAAAAATACTTGTCTCAAACAATGAGTATATAACACTGGCTTGCTTAGTTTCCAAGACAATTTAATTTATTCTGACAATCTGAATATTTTTGTTAATTTAAAGAAAATTTTGAAGTTTTCATAAAACTAGTGATCACATGCAATTGCAACGTGAAAATTACAACAAAAGCCATTTAACAAACAAATAAAGTGTAAGCACATAAAAAGTAAGTAAAATCATTTTCTTCTCTATTCTACACCTCTATATTATCATCTTTTAATTTAATATGCGATGTGTAGAACTAAAACGCCAGCTGAAATATGTTAAAATTATATCTATAAACGAAACGCAAATAAATAATCAATGTAATCTTATTTACACAACAACGCACGTTCCACTTTTCTGGAAAGTGCAAGAACAGTCGTTTTATATAAGCATTATATTTACATATATACATATGTGTATATGGTATATCTATTCGCGGTCGCTTCATAGATTCTTTGCTTAAGTACAAAGATAACCCGTGTGCGCTAATGCAATATCAAGCATATACGAGTCAGCTGTTTCCAGTTTATAGATAAAATGTAATTGTATATAACAAAATAAAAAAACATAGCTTCCAGTATATAAAAGTTCCAATGCCAACTTTGGGATATTTTTCCCGACCCAAAAACAAATTACACACAGTGTTGTGAAGCGTAAGTAGCAAATTATAACAAAAAATTAATGCGCAAATATATGTGTGTGCCCCATTTAAAATTTTACCCAGTTAATATTTGCAATTAAAACCCAAATTTATAATCAAATGCTAACACTCGAGCAGCTCTAAAATATTCTAAATATAGATATTTTGTAGATTAATGATATAAAATAAGAACCTATACAATAAAAATACAAACGCGCTACCAACACTGTATATAAAATGTACCAACCTGTGAAAGAGACAAAAAATTTGAGAAAATAAATTTTTCACAAATACGCAATAATCAAAAGCGTAAAAAAAGCAACATTTTCCGCAAATTTCAACTGCACTTCATATACCACGAATTATTTGAACAATGAAAAAACCAATATTATATGTATTAAAGTCGGAAATGCTGAAATGGCGTACAAATCAAGCATAGCATAAAATTCAAACAAAAAGTACGCAAAAGAGATGGCCAATGTGTCTTTTATTGTATATAACGGCCATTGCGTAGCACTTCCAGGGATATAAGGGAAATTTATACATTTTCCATTATATATGAGCATTGGTATAAATAGCTAGCACTAGCCTGCTTCTGCTCAAACGGTATTTAACAATTGTGAGCGAAACACTTTAAGGTTTACCAGCGCCTGTTATTTGTAATAATTTTCTGTGAAAATAAGTGAGCTTTGAAATATATAAGGAAAAAAAAATTTTTTTTAAAGAAAATAAGCAAACTGTATTGAGAATTACTGCAGAGAAGAACCAATATTTTTATTGAAAAACTAATTTCTGTGTGAAAAAGGAGGTTAAGGTGAGTGCGTTGATTATGCAAATGCAGTTCATTGCCAATTTGTTTATTTTACTTTAATTAAATTTGTGCAATTGTGTAAAATCAGCGTTTGTTCGTGCGCAGTGGAAAACGCTGGAAAATTGATAGAAATGTGTATCTGTATATGCAAGCAGCGCTGCACTTGTGAAATCGATTGAAAATTTTCCCCTGCACATAATTTCAAGATGGCGTCAAAGATGACCTCATTTACAATTACTTTTTACTCGATTTTACCTTAAAATCTTAGATTAAATTTTAGTTTTTAATCAAGAAGTAACATATGTATATTGTTTTCCATAAACGTGTAATATCGCAACAGAAGTTTCTGGAATTATGATAAACATACAAATTCAAACAGTGATGGCTAAACTAAAAGCACTTACAAACAAACATAAGCAATGAATAACAACATTTCATTAGTCATCACTGCTTTACGTGTCTTAATAAATAAATTGGATTAATCTGATTTTCGATTTTCACCAAATTAATTTTATAATTTTTTTTGTATTGATCTCGTTTTGCAGCACTCTTTCCAAAATGCAAATCTTCGTGAAGACCTTGACTGGCAAGACCATCACTCTGGAGGTTGAACCATCCGATACTATTGAAAATGTTAAAGCTAAGATTCAAGACAAAGAAGGAATCCCCCCAGATCAACAACGTTTAATCTTTGCCGGTAAGCAACTGGAAGACGGACGCACCTTGTCCGATTACAACATCCAGAAGGAGTCTACACTTCATTTGGTTCTTCGTCTACGTGGTGGCATGCAGATTTTCGTCAAAACTTTGACGGGAAAAACCATCACTTTGGAGGTTGAGCCTTCCGATACTATTGAGAATGTCAAAGCTAAAATTCAAGATAAGGAAGGAATCCCCCCAGATCAACAACGTTTGATTTTCGCTGGCAAACAGTTGGAGGATGGACGCACACTGTCCGATTATAATATTCAGAAGGAATCCACTTTACATTTAGTTCTACGCTTGCGTGGTGGTATGCAAATCTTCGTTAAAACATTGACGGGTAAAACAATTACTCTGGAGGTTGAACCTTCCGATACAATTGAAAACGTTAAAGCCAAAATTCAGGACAAGGAGGGTATTCCTCCAGATCAACAACGTCTGATCTTCGCCGGTAAGCAATTGGAGGACGGACGTACCTTGTCCGACTACAACATCCAGAAGGAATCAACCCTCCACTTAGTCCTTCGCTTGCGTGGTGGTATGCAAATCTTCGTGAAGACCCTGACTGGCAAAACTATTACTTTGGAAGTAGAGCCTTCAGATACCATTGAGAACGTTAAGGCTAAGATCCAAGATAAGGAGGGAATCCCACCAGATCAACAACGTTTGATCTTCGCCGGTAAGCAATTGGAGGACGGACGCACCCTGTCAGACTACAACATTCAGAAGGAATCAACCCTCCACTTAGTCCTTCGCTTGCGTGGTGGTATGCAAATTTTCGTGAAGACCCTCACCGGCAAAACCATCACCTTGGAAGTTGAACCATCCGACACCATAGAAAATGTCAAAGCCAAGATCCAGGATAAGGAAGGCATTCCCCCAGATCAACAACGTTTGATCTTCGCCGGTAAGCAATTGGAGGACGGACGCACCCTGTCAGACTACAACATTCAGAAGGAATCAACCCTCCACTTAGTCCTTCGCTTGCGTGGTGGTATGCAAATCTTCGTGAAGACCCTCACTGGCAAAACCATCACCTTGGAAGTAGAGCCCTCAGATACCATTGAGAACGTTAAGGCTAAGATCCAAGATAAAGTTTTGCCGGTGAGTGTCTTCACGAAAATTTCATACCACCACGCAAACGCAATACCAAGTGAAGAGTAGACTCTTTCTGAATGTTATAATCGGACAGGGTGCGTCCGTCTTCCAATGCTTACCGGCAAAGATCAAACGTTGTTGATCTGGTGGAATGCCTTCCTTATCTTGATCTTAGCCTTAACGTTCTCAATGGTATCTGAGGCTCTACTTCCAAGGTAATGGTTTTGCCGGTGAGGTCTTACGAAAATTTGCATACCACCACGCAAACGCAATACCAAGTGAAAGTTGATTCTTTTGAATGTTGTAGTCTGACAGGGTGCGTCCGTCCTCAATTGCTTACCGGCGAAGATCAAACGTTGTTGATCTGGGAATGCCTTCCTTATCCTGGTCTTGGCTTGACATTTTCTATGGTGTCGGATGGTTCAACTTCCAAGGTGATGGTTTTGCCGGTGAGGGTCTTCACGAAATTTGCATACCACCACGCAAACGCAATACCAAGTGAAGAGTAGACTCTTTCTGGATGTTATAATCGGACAGGGTGCGTCCGTCTTCCAACTGCTTACCGGCGAAGATCAGACGTTGTTGATCTGGTGGAATGCCTTCCTTATCTTGGATCTTAGCCTTAACTTTCTCAATGGTATCTGAGGCTCTACTTCCAAGGTGATGGTTTTGCCAGTGAGGGTCTTCACGAAGATTTGCATACCACCACGCAAGCGAAGGACTAAGTGGGGGTTGATTCCTTCTGGATGTTGTAGTTGGACAGGTGCGTCCGTCCTCCAATTGCTTACCGGCGAAGATCAAACGTTGTTGATCTGGTGGAATCCTCCTTATCTTGGATCTTAGCCTTAACGTTCTCAATGGTATCTGAGGGCTCACTTCCAAGGTAATGGTTTTGCCGGTGAGGTCTTCACGAAAATTTCCATACCACCACGCAAGCGAAGGACTAAGTGGAGGGTTGATTCCTTCTGGATGTTGTAGTCGGACAGGTACGTCCGTCTTCCAACTGTTTGCCGGCGAAGATCAAACGTTTGATCTGGTGGAATTCCCTCCTTATCTTGGATCTTGCTTTGACATTTCTATGGTGTCGGATGGTTCAACTTCCAAGGTGATGGTTTTACCGGTGAGGGTCTTCACAAAAATTTGCATACCACCACGGAGACGCAATACCAAGTGAAGAGTAGACTCTTTCTGGATGTTATAATCGGACAGGGTGTCCGTCTTCCAACTGTTTGCCGGCGAAGATCAAACGTTGTTGATCTGGTGGAATTCCTCCTTATCTTGGATCTTAGCCTTAACGTTCTCAATGGTATCTGGGGCTCTACTTCCAAGGTAATGGTTTTGCCGGTGAGGGTCTTACGAAAATTTGCATACCACCACGCAAACGCAATACCAAGTGAAGAGTTGATTCCTTTTGAATGTTGTAGTCGACAGGGTGCGTCCGTCTCCAATTGCTTACCGGCGAAGATCAAACGTTGTTGATCTGGGGAATGCCTTCCTTATCTGGATCTTGGCTTGACATTTCTATGGTGTCGGATGGTTCAACTTCCAAGGTGATGGTTTTGCCGGTGAGGGTCTTCACGAAATTTGCATACCACCACGCAAGCGAAGGACTAAGTGAGGTTGATTCCTTCTGAATGTTGTAGTCTGACAGGGTGCGTCCGTCCTCCAATTGCTTACCGGCGAAGATCAAACGTTGTTGATCTGGTGGTTCCCTCCTTATCTTGGATCTTAGCTTAACGTTCTCAATGGTATCTGAAGGCTCTACTTCCAAAGTATAGTTTTGCCAGTCAGGGTCTTCACGAAGATTTGCATACCACCACGCAAGCGAAGGACTAAGTGGAGGGTTGATTCCTTCTGGATGTTGTAGTCGGACAAGGTACGTCCGTCCTCCAATTGCTTACCGGCGAAGATCAGACGTTGTTGATCTGGAGGAATACCCTCCTTGTCCTGAATTTTGGCTTTAACGTTTTCAATTGTATCGGAAGGTCAACCTCCAGAGTAATTGTTTTACCCGTCAATGTTTTAACGAAGATTTGCATACCCCACGCAAGCGTAGAACTAATGTAAAGTGATTCCTTCTGAATATTATAATCGGACAGTGTGCGTCCATCCTCCAACTGTTTGCCAGCGAAAATCAAACGTTGTTGATCTGGGGATTCCTTCCTTATCTTGAATTTTAGCTTTGACATTCTCAATAGTATCGGAAGGCTCAACCTCCAAAGTGATGGTTTTCCCGTCAAAGTTTTGACGAAAATCTGCATGCCACCACGTGACGAGAACCAAATGAAGTGTAGACTCCTTCTGGATGTTGTAATCGGACAAGGTGCGTCCGTCTTCCAGTTGCTTACCGGCAAAGATTAAACGTTGTTGATCTGGGGGATTCCTTCTTTGTCTTGAATCTTAGCTTTAACATTTTCAATAGTATCGGATGGTTCAACCTCCAGAGTGATGGTCTTGCCAGTCAAGGTCTTCACGAAGATTTGCATTTTGGAAAGAGTGCTGCAAAACGAGATCAATACAAAATTATATATTAATTTGGTGAAAATCGAAAATCAGATTAATCCAATTTATTTATTAAGACACGTAAAGCAGTGATGACTAATGAAATGTTGTTATTCATTGCTTATGTTTGTTTGTAAGTGCTTTAGTTTAGCCATCACTGTTTGAATTTGTATGTTTATCATAATTCCAGAAACTTCTGTTGCGATATTACACGTTTATGGAAAACAATATACATATGTTACTTCTTGATTAAAACTAAATTTATCTAAGATTTTAAGGTAAATCGAGTAAAAAGTAATTGTAAATGAGGTCATCTTTGACGCCTCTTGAAATTATGTGCAGGGGAAAATTTTCAATCGATTTCACAAGTGCAGCGCTGCTTGCATATACAGATACACATTTCTATCAATTTTCCAGCGTTTTCCACTGCGCACGAACAAACGCTGATTTTACACAATTGCACAAATTTAATTAAAGTAAAATAAACAAATTGGCAATGAAC